CACCCCCTCTCCCTCTCAGACACAATCAATGTCGCAATGAAGCGTAGGAGGCACCTTCCAGCTTGCTCTGACCTAGTCTGCTAGTCTCTGCTTCCTGGCCTGCACCTGGCCGGGGAGCTTTCACCGAGAGGTCGGTGATCACTGTCTCTACTGGGGGGCAGCCTTCCTCCGGACAGCGCACCTTGGAAAGACCGAAAGTGGCTTGCACCACAAAAAATGGAAAAAAGGGCAGGCCATCCATTCCAACCCTGGTTCTGAATGCGCTGCGCGCGACAACAACGCTCCAAAGACATGTTTTGTTTTTTGCGCAGCTTGCCTGTGAGATAGACCAGGTGGTCTCCTTGCCCAGAGATGCATAGATCTCATCGGCCCAATCCTGAGCATGCCAATTTGCGCCCAACAGGCGAGCAAACGTGCACAACGTTTCCTGAGCAACGTCTCCTGGTAATTAAGTGAACATTTGCCGGGCGCGCGGAGAGAGAAGGGGGCCAATGACGAGCCCAGTCTCTTCGATTTGCTCTGAATCCGTCGCCATTCTCACACTGTGAGCCAAAGCGGCAAACCGGAAGGGCGGCACAGCTCAAAGGGTGTGGCTACCAAGGGCTCTTCAGAAAGAACAAAACCCCCCGAACGCCAAAAAATGGTCGAGCTCAAGAAACGAGAGGGGTCCAACAGAAGGGAGTCAACAGAAGGGGTGTCAACAAAAGGCCGCAGGGTCGATCAACAAACCGGTCTCCCACTCCCGAAGCGCACGCCAGCCCCTGCCTCTTGCAGCAGCCGAGGTGGGGGCCTCGGTTGAGGTTGGGATATCAAGGGACATAACCTCCAAGCTGTTCATCTTTCCAACCCTATTTCCAAATCACGAAAGTAGACCCTTGGACCTTCTCAGCCGCTTGAATCTAAGTGCCAACACTTTCTCTGGGCATCCCCACGTCGATATGGATGGGCCCCTGCATTTCGGCCGTGCCTGGGAAGTGAATGCCGAGCTTCTTCAAATAGCCAAGCACAGGCCATTTAAGCAAAGCGTTGCTGGGCAAGATGGGAACCCCCCTCTTTTGCATCTAAGTTTAGGCTCAATTAAAATCATTCTAGCCCGCAAGGGCTGCAAATGATTGCAGCCCGCAAGGGCTGCAAATGATTGCAACCTGCAATGAAATCCAGGGAGAAGCCATCGCTTTCCAATCATTCCTTGAGACCACATGCCGAATTTGCAACGGCTGAAGCCCGTCCAGAGTGGGTCAGAAGAAACACTTGAGCAAGCTGTTGGCTGCTGGCTGTCACCTCGCCGCTTTTCTTATTCAGCGCGATTTCACCAGGCGCTGTTGACATGGATTCCTACCAATCCGACATGCACTCGTGGCCCCAAAGGCCAGACACACCCAGCAGAAACAAGCAGCGAGGACGGGTTGTACATGTTCGCTGGCATTTCAGAGGTGTCCGCAACGAGCATTCACAATGTCCGATATTGTGTGGTGCTGTGTCCACATTGCGCTGGAGTGTCAACCAAGTGGAACATGATATGTCCCAGGGCTCACGCCTGAATTACACTAAGCAACAGCTCGCAAAGGATCCAACAAACAGCGTCTTATGGTCAAAGGGCCGTACGTCAAACAGTTTGACCGATGTCAAAGTGCCAGCAACAACTGAAGTCTTCCCATCTGAGTCGTGCAAGTTTCTCTTCTTTGCTTCCACGTGTTGACATTTTGTGCTTTGCTGGAGCCCTTGCGCATGACCACGCACCTCGAAGAGGCTGTCACTTGTGGACGCTGGTCACTGGCCATGAGCTGCAACAGAAAAAGATTTGGTTGTGCGACTTGTGCCTCTGTGACACATGCAAGACATTGCAAGACATCGCCTGCTGGAAGTCCCGACAGGACAAGCACGTAAAGAATGCGGTGTTCAAGTTGCCTGTGCTGTGCCAAGGCTTTGCGAGCTTCCACTGTGACTTGGAGCATTCCTATCAGGCTAGGGCCCATCAATGTCTGCTGCAGTCGTCTCCCTCGCTTCAGTGTCATCCGCCATCAGCTTGCTTCGCTTTGACATGCTGGACACCCAAACCTGGCGTAAGAGGTAGAAGGAATTCGCTCAGGCCCCTTTGCGGAGCAACACTCGGCAAACATAAAGCAGGACATAACCGGGACAACATACTTCAGCCTTTGTGTAAGTGCTGGCAAGGAAACATATCAAATGCAACCGGCGAATATGCGAAGGCACGCTCACTTCATCAGCTGGACCCCACATGGAAACCGATGGCTCGAGTATGGTGTTTCTTGCCAGGCGGCCATCATGGGGATGCCGCACTTTGCAAGGACATCTGCCACGGCATAGCCAGCAACTTCAAACTCTTCAGGGAAGGTCTTGGTGCCTCGGCTGTTTTGACAGCTTGCCCAACAGGTCTCGATTTCGGTTCGGCAACGATTGGCACATCATGGTACATCGTCACCCAATGGGACTCATCCAAAACAACATGACAACTCACGTCCGAGATGCATTCGCACAATGCGAACAGCACGGGGTAGGCGCACCAAATCTCGGCCTTAGCCCAAGCTACAATACGCAAAGGCGCGGTCGCTTGAAGCTCATTTTCGGAAGCATAAGTTTCGCTTCTCCCTACAGCATGATGTAGCTTGAGGATCCCGTGTTCGAATCTTGCATTTCAACAGGCGACTGGGTTGCCAAGCCAAACCGACTTGGACACCATAGCCATCTAACTGACCAGCAGTGCAACTGTCATCGGCTGTGGGGTGAAGGGCGCATGGAAAAGCAAGGAATTCAGGCAACAATGCATCGCTTCCCGGTCGAAGCAATGTTAGAACATTGCATAGGCTGCGAGCTTCAAGTAGGCCGTCCTTGCCTGACCAAACGTGTATCAAGCCTTCATGCAGCGACGAGGCTGTGCGATTGGCCACAAAGTTGTAGAGGACCTTCGCGTCGCCACCTGGTCATTAAAATATCAGGTTACCCTCAGCTGGTGCTTTGGATTGGTGAAACCACCCCTTAGCCACCAAACCACTGGGCTCCAACCCACCAATTGGAGGGAAGCTGAACAAACGCATCCAGGCAATTGCCTCGCATCAGGCTTCTCGCCAAGGCCACTCATCAGCAGAGTGCTAAATGGTATTGGGTGAAATATGATGTGATCCATCCCCTTTTGACCTTCTGGACATACACAAACACATGGGGGGTTGATCAAAGGGTCCTTTACATGGGATGACCATTGGGGGAAGAACTAACAAATACATATTTCCTGCTAAATGGGGAAAGATACCCATGGTCATTTGGGGGCCGAAGAAAACATTGATCAAGCCCCACAGTGACCGTTTTTGGGGGCCCGAAGCCCTTCTCGAGCCGAGTCGCCTAAGACTTCGGCTTGCTTCTGAAGCGAGGTGAAAAGCTTTGCAGCCACAACCGCAAAGCAGAGCAGGCCCATCATGAAAAAGGGCCATTTTCCTGGCGTAGGCGGTGTGTATAGAATCAGTGGACACTTACCGCCAGGCTCCTGAGAGGCTCCACATGAGATTGGGTTTGGGGCAAGCGGGCAAGCCCCTCAATTCCATGTATGCAGCCTTCCCGCAACCAGACATGAAATTCCAGAAATTCCCTCTGAAGCGACGGGCTGATGCGGATGGTGGCACGTGAAAACGCCGCACGCCTGAAAATACCAGCGAGGACGCGATGCCAAAGGCGAGCATGAATTCATCGATGACCTCAATTCAACGTGTCTCGCTTGGTCGCAACTCAAACGAACTTCCCAAAACCGATTGACATTTCCCTCGGCTCCGGTGCCGGAGCCAAAAAACAAATGCAACTCAAACAGGGTCATTGCCATTCGAAAGGCACAAAAGCCACACAAAAACACTTGAGCCACGGGGAAAACTCCGGCTAATGCTTATAGCGTTCTTCCTCAGTCAAACGATGAGGTGAATGACCTGACTGCCCGGGCCTTCGACAAGGACCCCGGTTCAAGAAAGTAGTTCGGCAACATGATCCAAAGGAACAACATCCAGATGAATGCAGCAGATCTACCCTCTGACCAACATGCCTCGGTGCAGGCTTACCCCCTTTTAGAAGGAACAACATCGGCCTTTGAGCCCAATCCGCATTCTCACTTGCACAACATGCGGGACAAAGGGACGCTGCTTGATGCCGTACGCTAGTTGTTTCAGATACAAGCGGGCCACTCACAATCACTGCCAAACCTCAGAATGTCGACTCTGGAATGGCAAATCTGGTAGATTTTTCACGGGTCCTTCAACAATACACCCTAAATTCCTACTCTACAGCGGGATCCTCTAAATCAGCCGGCAAAGGTCCTTTTCAGCCTGGCAACGTGTCCTGCTTCGGAACCCAAGAATCCCCCCCCCTCCTTTGGGCACTGGTCTGGTCTATCCGGAAAAACAAAAAAACACAATCCAGCCCTGCTTGTTCCCCGAGGAACATTCACACACGCGTTTAGCACCAAGCTCCTGCGCACCGCGAAATGCGTACGCTGTTTCAGGCCGTCCAAATCCGACAACCTCCCTTTTATTGTGGCCCCAGCCGAACGAAACAAACCTACACATGCGGCATGGCTGCGATCAGGACCACCGTCTGCCATCGCTTTGCGCCCGCCAGCACTCCAAGCTCTACCAGCATCAAGGGCGTGGTGAAGACCCAGTCGACGTAACCTCAGGTCTCCGCTTGCAAGGCTTGCGGAAAAACAACCAACTCCAAACCACAAGAACGCTTAAATCAAGTTTAAACGGGTATCGCACAAACCCGGACAAACTGAGCCGCAACAAATACGCAAGGCCCCCGAAGGGAAAACCAAAGGTTCGTTTAATCAGGGGTTGATCATGTTTCATCAGTGCTTCCTCAACACAGGAAAACAACACATGAGTCAATGTTTGGCCATAGGGTGAAATAGGAACGGCCTGCCTTGCTGCATTTCAGGCCATGCATCATCTCGCAAGTTGCTGATGTCACAAAAGGCCAGCTGCGCTTTGCGCAAAAACTGCAATAACCATCTGCATATTCAAGCCACCTTATTACCCTCTTACTCAAGCGCAAGGAAGGTATGCAACAGGGAGCCAGCAACAATCATTTCCATGTGCAAGCGACCTTTACGTCTATGTGCGACAAGTTGCGAATCCAGTAAACGCGATGTCCATGTACATCCTGCACTGAACATGTGCCGAATGGGTATCATTGACACGTGACGAGGGACTGTCGCTCAAAATGGAGGGATCATCCCTAATCCTCCGATTTCCGCAGTCACTATGCGGAGGCAAACGACTATTATGTGGCAGAAGGATTAAGCATTGAACAACCCAGCGAGATCTGCTTGCTGTTCTGCCCGACAACAAAATCAATGGTCTACAATATGCTGGTTCCAGCCTCGGCGATGCCGAACCCCGCAGTCATACAAAGGTAGGCAAGGGAAGCAAAGGTTGTAACCTCAGGCAGTGCACATCACAAGCCCCCTTCCAAACCACATGCCTTTCTGGGGTCCTTGCCATGAGGGCAATGCGGTTGAAACGTTTGGTGATGCCTTCCTTCTGGGCCTAGGACGCGAAAGCATCAACATTGCTATGTCGGGAAGAGAGCCCGGCCACGCCCATCAGGAAGAGGCTGATGTTGCTCAGCATGAAGAAGGAGCACGTCAAAGCCAAAACCTCAGCCAAACAACCCTGCCAATCGGTTTGACGCCAGCCAGGTTGCGGTTCCTGTGCGGCCAAGAAGCGGCTTGATTCATTGGGGAGACAGCCATGCCACGAAGGAATCGGCGCTTGAGCTTAGATCGGCTTGCCGCTCCAACAGGCCAGGCTCGTCACATAGGGAATTTCCTATGTGGGTGATTTCCCCGTGACCCTTTAAAACAGCCCTAAGATACCCCCAGAGGTTCTGTCAAGACAAATCGCACCGTGAGCCATGTCACAAAACGCCCTGAGCTTCACCAAGGCCTGGGAGCCCCTGCGCCATGACATCGGAGTAAGCCGAAGCCGCGAAACCGCAGCTTGGCTTTCGTGCTCTGGGTGTGGGTTGGCAAGTTTAAGTTATGTGGGCTTGGCTCGCTGCTTTCCTGTGCAAGCAGGTGCATCGTGAGAAGTAAAATGCTGTCCAAAGGCACAAGGCCCAGCTCAGCCTCTCCACTTGTGCGACTTGGCACATCTTGGCACTTGCCACTTGCCAAGCAACCCTGCACGACATGCTCATCGCAACAGCTGCCTTTTCCTCAGGCAAAAGCATAGGCATGCATGAGTCTTTGCACGAGTGCCAAGCGTGTGAACCCACGCGCGCGCTACACCACATAGCAAACCGACTGACTAGAGCTTCAGAGCTGAAAAATCCACCTGCTCCGTTTGCCACACCCCTCCAAAGCAAACATGCCCGGAAAACTGACACATGTCCAACATGCATATTTTGCGGCCCCTTGCTTCCAACATTCTGCATGGCTCAAGGGCTGACAGGTGAGCAGGTCGGCGTGAAAATCGAAAGACGGGGGGAGCTCTACAATCGCTCTATATGGCCAATCACCAGACTTAAGCCCCCGACAAATGAGTCACAGCCACGCACTAAAAGAATCTACCCAAAACCCATGGCAAATATCCGTACCCATTTTATGGTCGGAACTGTTCCTTGCTTTTCTTACCTATCGCAATGAGACGATCAATCCCTGCCCAGACATTGCCCCTCCGATGCTCACAACTTGTAGTTGACCCCTGTGAGGGTCTCTGACTTGGCCCACAGCTCCTGGCGAGGTGCAAATGGTTCGGGCACGCGGATAAGGGATTTCAATCTGGAAAACGGTTTGGGGGCGCGTTTGCAGTGGATTGCACCTCTTCTTCTCCCTGCTTGGTACTCTTTTGGTATTCCTTCAGCATCCCTTGGACTGGGTCAAGGTGAGTCACAATCAACACCCGGTATTCAAATGGTCTACCCAGAACCATGTAACGAATTAAGAAGGCGGCCGCAGCTATTTATGGTTGGGATTGTCCCTTACTAACCTTCATCCACCCGGGTTTTGATTGTGGCTCAGGTGAGGGGGCCCAAGTTGCACCTGAAGCACCCCGAAGGCCAAGGCAAAACATTGCGCCGTTGGTCAAAGGCTGGGCTTCCCCCCTCCCATTGCCGCATTGCCTAACCACCCCACTTTTAGGGGCCAGGCCTTGGAGATCGACGCCATTTGTTTCACTAAGGCAGAATGGCTTATGGCGCTTGAAACATGCACCAACACTATATATGTATATATTTATACATTTATATTGTTGCATGTATACTGCACAACCATATGTATAAGAATGTGTGCATATGGATGTGTATACATATAAAGCAAGACGCCCGCAATCTTCTTAGTCCCTCTGCCCAAAATAGTCAAACCGTGGTGGGTCGACCACAAGGTTTCCACCAACCGAATGAGAAAAACAAAAAGCGCAACTCCAGAGCCTTTTCGCCCTCACGCAGCAGGTGCACTTTGGCTCCAGCGGCCCTTCAGATCACGCAGCGCCTCCTGCAACAAATCCCGAAGGCGCTCTGCCTGGCGAAGCCAGGCGCGACCAGGCCTACCCCCATGGAACGCATGTGAGGTGCGTGGAATACGGCGTTTGTTTTGTGAAAAGGGGCCTTCTGCTCCCCGTGAAACAGCAAGACGATCCACAGAGGACTCGAACCTCCATGATTTGTGCTTGTCTGCCAGCGCAGCAAAGACAAAGCCTTACCCATTGGGCAGCTGAATCTCTGTCCCCCTCTCGATTGTTTTGGGTTCTACCACAAACAACGCAGCGCCAGCTTGCAAATCGGATCAACACAAGTGCCAAACAACCAACAAGTGCACAAGGCACACAAAGCAAAGTAGTCACAACTTGCAACTAGCGCGTCATTTGGACAAAGTGCTGGGTTGGCAGGACATGTCAATCAGGTACTTGTCCTTTTCGAACTTGACAGCTTGTGAAGTGTAGTGTGTTGACTGTCATTGCGATCTGCGTGGGAAGGCGATGCATGAAACTTGTCCCAGCAGAAACTGATAGGGGACTACCCACTTGTTTTGTTTGATGCACTTCCCACACGCGCTTCAAGCATTCACCTTGGCATCTTCCAAAGGAAAAGCTTCTTTGAACCATGCAATCAGCCAGCCAGCCAACCAACAAGCCGTCCAGGCACCTCCCCCCCCTTTTCGCTAAAGGGAAGGCCAAACAAAAGCCATTTTTGGGACATTGACTTTGTGAAACGACGACGCCGTTTTGACATTTCCCGAAAGCCGTTTCGGCGACTCAACCGGCTTCAGTGCCTGACTCAGATCCTCCGAAGCGATGAAGCTTTCGCCTCGTTGCTCAAAGCCCGCGAGGCATAGGAGCTCTGCAGCGATAGCCTGTCGCTCCTCCATAGAACAGCACTGTGGATGGTTGCGAAATCCAGTTCGCACCACGCAATGAAACCATGGTTGACACCTTTGGTTCTTGGCATCTACAGAGGAATCATCATTCCAGGGTTTCTTAGGTGGTGCGAAATGGATTTCGTCCATCCACAGTACCAAAGCGGGCGTCCCATCCTTGTGACGTACATCACTTTTGGGGAATTGTTGGGTTCCTTGGCCAGAAAGTGATCCTGAGACCAACATGTTGGACACTGTCCTCCGCAAAGGTTTCGCGGAATCTCGTGCTGCTAGCATTGACTTCCCGGTACTTCTCGAGCGATGGGTGCACTATGCGGTTCTGAAGAATCAGCAGGAGTGTCTGCAAGGAACGTCGGGCAACTGCCTGGGTAGGTCAAACTCACCGGCCAAAAGCTAAGTCAGTTTGATAGTTTCCAGCTCCATGAAAATAACTCCAATCTTGTGATAAGGATTGATAAGGACTACTCTGGAGCAGACCTTTTCCAAGAGCTTCAGGCATCCCGCGCGCGTCACCGGTGACGCCCTAAGCGAGCGGCCAGGCTGGAGGACTGGGTGACCAAGCGCTGCACAGCCGCGCTCGCCCGCTGGAACCACTGCGGGTACCCCTCGTCCCCTGCCACCAGCGTGCGCAAGAGCTGCAGGGACTCAGGGGCCACCTCGAGTTGACCGGCTTGCTCCGACCTCCGACTCCGAACCCTGACTTTCCTCGGGGAAAGGGAGGTTCTGTAAACAATTGCTTCTCGGGGAAAGGGAGGTTCTGTAAACAATTGCTTCGCCCAATGGTCCCAACATGGCTCAACGTGCCTTCAAGGATATTCACAAGGGGATCCTTTACTCAGCTGGTAAAAGTGGAGTGGTCCAAATGCATCCTGCAAAACAAAAGCAGCCAATTGAGTTGCGCTCGCCGGCGCGCCTCCATTCGCTTGGGGCGGCGCCGCGTGGCGTCATCCATCCGCCGCTGGAAGTCTAAAGCTGACATCTGATAGAGCCTTTCTTGCTGCTCTGCGCTCTGTCGAAGCGAGGCAGTCGCTTCTCGCGTCTCCTCCGGAAAGTTGACCAGTAACCCCTGGTACAAGAACACTTTAAACTAAACCAATATTCAAAGGAGAGGTTTAAACATGTTTCAGGAACGGATCCACAAGTGAAAAGACGATTGCCTGCACAGGACTTAAACCCAGGGTTAAGTTCACCTCGGGGCCATCAAACATGAAAGCCAGGATGTGAAATTCAGGCTGCCTGCTTCAAGCGCCTGCAAAAAGAAGAGAGCTGGGGACAGAAGTATTGATTGGGGTGTAAGACGGTGGAAGCCGCCGCATGCAAAGCACTTTCAAACAAAGCCAATAAACAGCTCCGGTTGTCCGCTTGAACGGTGTTCATAAAAAAAGGGTCCCATTCTGGACCTTGGTGCAAAATACAAACATTGGTCTTGCTAAGATCTGCAACGCATCACACAGGAGCGCGCGATTTAGAGTTGGAATCGTCCCTTGCTCACTTTTGGACAAACGAACAAGCGGGGATACGGAGGGAGCGGGGATATGGGGGAATTCCCTTGGCGCCATTTCCCATATCAAGCTTAATCAAGCTGCATTTGGGGGGAGTTCTCCCGTATCGCTGGTTCCCCCTGTATCCCTGTTGGTTTCCCTGACACTTGGCCCTCCTTGGTGTGGCACCGCACCGTCGCCAGCAACTCCTTCAACCGCCCGTCGCGCTTCACTGCAGGGGCTGGGAGCCCCTTCTGCGCTTGACGGCGCCATGACCACAGCCGCAGCCTCCGTCGGGACGTCGAGACGAGGCTTCATGGGAAGGTGGGCTGAAACAGCTTCCGTAGGCGTGTGAGCTAGATCAGCTCCTTGGAATTGGGACCTTAACCCCACCCCCTGCCTCTTAAGTCTTAAGGTTTGGCGGGGGAAAGCCCTGAGGGGTTCTCACACAATTGAATACGGAATAATAAAAACGAGTAGTTTCTGTTTGGCTTCAACGTGGGGTATAGAATGTCCAGAATGAAGCCGTCTTGCCCTTCGCGTTCTCTTTCAAGCCCAAAACAGGTACCGAAAAGACACACGGCCAGGAGCGGGAGCTTGACGCAGGTGCGTTGCACCCCAGTCTTCATCGGGTTGCATCCATCCCAACTTGTGTAAAGTGGAACTTTGTCCATCCAAAGTCCCCCTACTACATCAGCTTGATGTCGCATGCTCATCAGACCCGCAAGACTGTAGCTTTTCTCTTTGGTCTGCGAAACACAACAAATGCCTTCCGTGGCATTCCGAAGCATGCGTTCACTCGTTGGGCCGTTTCTCCAGTTCTGCAGCCAGTAACCCGAACAGTAGAAACAAGAACCTGGCTTGCTTGGTTGACCATTTCTTGCAGCGAGCCCAGCACCAAACGAAAGGGAAAAAGGGTGCCACTGAACAACAACTATGCCGCAAACACCCGAAGGAGCATTTCACATTTCGGGAACGCCCCCGCACATTGCTGTGAACATGCCGATGGTGCGTCCGCACGCGTACCTGCTTCAAGTGTTGCTGAGAAGCGTTGCCAAATGCCACAGAATCAGTTGCCAGGGTTTGGGCTGTCACTTGCGACCATAAAGTCTCAGCGGTACGGTGATGCCATGCTAAAACTTAGGATGGCATATGACGATATTACTAATATATTACTTTCAAAACACTCTCAACACAGACAGTCTCAAAGTCTCGCGGAATCGCATGGCTGGGGAACTGCCAAGAAATGCGAGCCACTTGTGACCAAAGGCAAGTGACCAGCAAATGGCCAAGCTGATCAGGTCCCTGCCACTCGGGCGATCTTTATAAAGCCAAGCACGCAAGGAGTAGGCGCGTCCCAACGCATGCTGATAAGCCAGCGCCTTGTGGTTTGGTACATCTGATCAGCTTCAGGTACATGTTTCTAGAAGCTGGGCAATCACAAATTGCTAGCGCCTTTTTGCTAGTGTTCTGACTGCCGGGCCATCTGGTAGTCCTGTGGACAATGCCAGCCCAAGCTCCGTGCTTCGGCCCTATGCAGAACGCTGCTTTTGGCTGCGAACGAAGACCCTGCCTTTTTGACCCCGTAGTTCTTCCGTGCTTCCGAAGCTTGTGGAAATAGTAAGAAAAACAGGCGGATGCAGGAGGCCAAGCCAACTTCTGGAAATCAGCACCATTGAGCATAAAACAACGAAGGGTACTACATGAAAGGAGGGTTTATGTCCAATCCTTGGGGTTCGTGGCTGGGAGGTGGCAACCCTCCCTCCTCACTTCTCAGGGGCTCGCCGATATTCGAGACCGGGGGCAGAAGGGCGAAGATGACCCCGAAGCCAAGGCCGGACAGCAGCAAGGCCCACCAGGGGGCAGTTTTGCGACGCGGCAAGGTCTGGACCAACTGCCAAGCGCTGGGGATGACCACCGGGAGAACCTGAGCAAGCAAAATCTGGCCATGGGAGGAGGCTCCTTGACCCGAAACCCGAAAAGGATCTAAGTTAAGCTGAGAACGGGCCCGACCCGGCAACATGGCAAAGAAAAGAAACACGTAAAAACGAAGTCGACCTCCAAAACCACCTGCTTTGCATAGGGATCCACCCAACAAACCTACTGGCTTCGTCCAACTCATCGTGTTCCGACTCAATTCGTAGCGGGACGCCAGTAACGGAAACCACCATTTGGGACCCCCAAGGGAAAACACAACATGAAATCAGCATTCAAAAGGAACGACTCGAAACAAAAATACTGTGATGACTTGTTGACGATTGCTTTGTTGACCTTGATGACGGGCTAAAACAAGTTCTGGGGTCGAGATTTATGTAGCTGCCATGAGCCCCCCATAAATGGCGTGACAACGCGGTCCAGAAGCATCCAGGCCTTGGGCTAACCATGAGCCGAGGTGAGCTGTCAGGAAGTCGTCCTTAAACTCCCCATGTTGTCTAAATCCCAGCTCCCTTGGGGAAATCAACCTCCGGGTTAAAGTCTACATTTGGGGGGGGGGGGGAGTTGACTGTAGCCAAGTGACTGGAGGGGCCGGACTTTCATGCGGCCCGGCCAGGGCTCGACGCATGGCCTCAGCGACTTCGCCTTGGCTCAAGCCTTTTTGAAGTAGGAAATCCTCCTCAGGGCGTGCGACACCGCTACGACGGCAAGGGCCACGTCTGCCTATGACTCGTCGTGACCCGACAAATCGTTGCTTGGGGGGCGCAAAAACAGAACTGGAGGTGCCCAAAAAACAGGCAGGTCGGAAAGAGGAGCTGAAAAATGCAACACTTAAGGCTGGTCCTTGTCAGCGATCCAGCTCTTCAATCCCCGGTCATGGGTTAGAAAGCTGACCGCTGCATGTACCTGGTCTTCTCTCAGCGCCATGGCTTGTAAGCTACAGGCGGAACTTCGGCCCGCACATGCGGGTTGTGGAGTCCCCCTTTCCACCAAATTGACATTGGACTGGACATCCTGACCGAACCTCAGGGACAGTGACCCGCAAGGCTAAGACAAAGCCATCCTCTCAACCGCCTCATATTTGGATTGACCTGGGCAAACTGCATTATGATTCAGAAGCTGGCAATCAAGAACCCCCAAACCAGGGATTTTCATAGGTCGGTTTGCCCCCATGTGATCTTGCCAAGATGCAGATCGGTGGTCTGCGTTGCAAAGCTTTTTCGCGCCCGGAGCAAATGCTAGCGAGGAGGCAAAATGGACAGCTCGAGCAAATTGCACGGTTTCGTCACTCCAGCGAAGAATTATGCTTCATGGCGATGAGTCGTAATGGAGAACACTCTCACAACGGTTGGCGGACATCAGTCCGCACCTCACTGCCCATTATTTATCATGATTTCATAGCCACATGGTGGTGCGTTCTTTTCACGAGGGCACGCTTGCTGGGTCCGGGGTTCAAAGGACAACCACAACGAAAACCCCCACTTTGGTGAGGTCCGTTACAAAAATGACCTTTATGTGGACTTCTCGACACGTTGGCGCTGAACAGCACGCCCTCCCCAACCTCAACGCGCGTGCGTCTCCTTCCCCAAGGCTTCGTCATTGGCAACTGGATTCGTCAAGCCTGGAGCGAGAAAGGCGCTCCAGGAATCAGCAACAGCAACTTGTCACTTGAGCGCCGCATGTCGCCGCCAGGCAACATCGCGATTTGGAAGGTGACTTGCAGCACCCAGCATGAGAAATGCCGGAGGCAACCCTAAAAGTGAAGTGGGACTGATATCCACAACAAATTAAACTCCCATCAAACGTTTGTCACGCGATCCAGGACTCCGGCACCTAGCAAATGCAAACAAATATGAGCATTGGCAAATGCAACAATCTGCACTGAATCTGCACCAATCACTGCATTTATCCAACCTCTCAGGGATCGGGGATCGTGGTGGTAAAGAACCTTCATGGGTGAACTCCTTTCGCCCCTCGGGGAGTGCACTTGGGCTTGATTCCCACACCCACAATTGTGCGGTTTCATGCGTTTCCCGAAACTTTAGGTGAATTTCCGGAAAGAAGCATCCCTGAACAGAATGGGGACTTCACTTCTCAGAGCTCTCTTTTTAAACCAAGCATAGACCTGCAAAACAATGGCAGTTGCACGCCTGGAGCCATGTTGTCAAAGTACTCGCCCCCGGAGGCAGTGTAGTCGCCATCCTTACCTGCAGCCAGAAAGACCTGGCGCGCGGCTTGCGATCGTTCGATAAGGTTGAACTATGAAACGGACTCTGCACACTGTTCATTGTTGGCGTGCTCCTTGGGTGTCGGCGAAGATTTGCTCAGACGGTGAACCTATTGTGTTGACACTTCATCCTTGCACCACCTCCCCAATTACCTGTTGTTTGCCAAGTCTCTAGAAACATGGGTATTGCAAATAGGGGGGCAGCACAGGATGTTCAGTCTTTGAACTGCTCAGTTGGAGGTGAGGTGGTTTGGGGGTGGGGGGTGAGGGATCCAAAAAAACTTTATTAGGCATCAAAAAACAAAATATTTCTGAAGATTAAAAAACACTTACTAGGGATCAAATAACTTGTTCTGTTTGATTTAGTATATTAAAAATGAAAAAATCAAAGGATCAAAACAACTTTTTAGGGATCAAACAAAACTTATTCATTTCGTGGCAGGCGCAGCACTTTCGCAAGGTCAGGTACAGATTGTGTGGCAGGCGCAGCACTTACGCAAGGTCAGGTACATAATTCGTGGCAGGCGCAGCACTTTGGCAATGTAAGGTACAGATTTCATGGCAGGCACAGCACTTACGCAAGGTTAGGTACAGACTTCGTGGCAGGCACACTACTTTCGCGAGGTCAGGTACAGAGATCGCGGCAGGCGCAGCAGTTTCGCAAGGTCAGGTACAGATTTCGTGGCAGGAGCAATGCTTTCGCAGGTCAGGTGCAGAATTCGTGGCAGGCGCAGCACTTTGGCAATGCAAGGTACGGCAGGCACAATACTTTCGCGAGGTCAGGTGCAGATTTCCTGGCAGGCGCGATGCTTTCGCAGGTGCAGATTGCGTAGCAGGTGCAGCACTTTCGCAAGGTCAGGTACAGATTCGCTGCAGGTGCAGGACTTTCGCAAGGTGCGGTACAGATTTCGCGGCAGGCGCAGCACTTTCGCAAGGGCAGGCACCGAATTCGTTGCAGGCGCAGCACTTTCGCAAGGTAGGGAGAA